TTTAATAACCAAAATCGTTGCAAAGCAATATCAATGTGATAGATGAGCACTTGAAACCATATCCTTTTGTTGAATACTGTAAAAAAACCCTGTTACATGTTCCACTTCTGGTATTTCACACATCACATGGAAGGAAGGAATGACAAGTTTCTCCACCAAGTGGGAACAAAACTTACTAATATTCAAGGCAAAAGAATCTATAAAAAATAGTGGATGATTCTCAGAAGAATGTTTCTAAAAGGAGACACTGCACAAAAAATTTCATTTAAAAGGAATGATTTGCCCTAGCAACAACTCAGCTTCCCCCAGCATGAGACAAGACCAGAAAGCAAATGAAGTGTATGTTCTGTTTTCTAACCTCTGTATAGAATATATATATATTTCTGAACAAAGCATAATTTTTAAGATACTTCAGCTTGTCTCTTTCCTCATTCCACATAGAAGATCACCTATGCTCTTTTTCAACTTATGTTTCAAATCCAGAAAGAATGGAATTCTTTTATGTTCTCATAAGAAATAATGTAAAATAAAGGCCCCCTACCCAAATGGCCTCTTTCAGTTTTCACTAAATCTCTTGTTAGGCTGTAGGGACAAAAAGTGTACAAAATTAAGAATGTCTGGAACATGTCTCTGTCTGTAGAACAAAATTTAAATTCTAGATATAGGTACATATACAGTCATGGAAAATTACATTCAGATTTACAACTCTGTGTGGAACATTCACTGAAATTTTATATAACTGCTTACATGTGACAATATTGAAACTAATCACTAAAAATCATAGTTTTTTAGCGATTTTGCAGCTCACCACATCTTTCAGTTATAAATACTGATTGGGGAAAATGAGAGAATAAAAACCAAATTAATTGTAATCACTTTCTCCTAATGATTTATTTGGAGGTTGCAAATGTGAGAGGATAACCATTTCAATTCTTTTGAAAGTATTTACAAAACATAAATGATCTTTAAAAAAATCTACACAACTATGTGCAAAATAATTTAGCTAAGAATAATAACTTTCTAAGTATATTTAATGTCTCTAAAAGTTGCTTGCTGTTCACAAGTAACTGTATTTACTTTAAAAAGTAATATTACACACAGGATGCTTAAAAGAAGATGTGAAAAGAAGGGCAGATATTCAAGTGACTAAATGTAGGAGTATATGACCATTTTAGACACTATAGGGTATCCAAAATAATTGCAAAGGCTGACAGGTGTGACACACAACTGGGAAACCCTTGTCTTTCTTGTGGAGCAGCAAGAGGTCAGAAACAGTACTTGTAGTATCCAAGTTGGTCTAGACATCTGGTTTGGCACTTGAATTGTTTCTTAGAGGTCAAATGGTAGCAGACAAGGAGTACTGAGGGTAGATGTAGACATTACATCTCAGAGCATCCTTTACTGTAGAATAAATAATTTCATGTGTGCATACTCCCCACTTCAGATGACTTACATACACTTACTTTAAATAGGAACTGAAAATCTGTTATTATTTTAAGTCATGATTGTTGATATGTCTACCAAAAGAGCCATCAAGAGGCCAGATCACCTGAGCACCACAAAGCATGAAAGGTAGGCTGACACTAGGTATCAGTTTAGGATATTTTGTAAACATATGTGCATTTGAAACATGGAATTAACCTATTTTAAATTAACTGTTACTGCTAGGAGAGCAGCAGTCATAGTTAGCAGTCAACGTGTAGCTTTATTAAACTACTAGCATGCAGAAAAGCACTTGCTCAATTTTAGATATAGTTAAAGGAAAAACAAGCATTAGACTACAGTTGCTCAGACATGGAAGAGTGCTGAATGGCATTGGAAGACAATTACAAACTTTCATGCTCCACCACAAATGACACTTTACAGAGCTCTCTTATTGTATAAATACAACCAAATAAACAAAAATATTATTATGAAAAACTGTATGACTCATCAACTAGTTGCAGGACAGAAGCTCTCAGAGACCAAGAGGCACAGTTTAATGTAATTAAAACCCCTCTTACACAATGAGCTGGAAAGTCACACAACGCAAATGCTACACATAGAAACTGAATAATTTGGTTTCTGCTAGGATCATGCAAGAGTTAGAGGATGGAGTTTCATCAGCTCAGTAGCTGTGGCAACAGAGTACATTACTACTCACCATACTGCTCTTCAAACAGAAGGTAACACTCAGCAGCTCCAGGCCAGAGCTAAGTGTAGGAATGGCCTCTAACCTGCTTCTAGGGCTAATCAGCTGCCCCAGTTTGGGTTGACTAGTTGAATTCACCTGGTTTATTTTGCTTGAGAGGGATTAAAAGTTCTCACAGAAACCCTTCTGATGAAGCCATATCTGGGGACACCCTATGAAGGAAGTGCAATGACAGAGGTGCTGGTCACACCTTCTGCTACTTCCACAGAATTCTGCCATTCATGAAAGGATGATATTCTCTGCAAAGAACGGATCAGCTGTTCTCTCTGAAACAAAGGAGGCAGATATCACCCAAAGGCACCAAATAGCCCTGCTTTTCACATATGGTACACCTACTAAGAATAATATTTTATTAACTAGTGATAATAATGTGCACGAGGATAATAAGTATTAGCAAGGTCTAATAAAGAGGTTTAATTTGTCAAGCTAAAAGCACTAAGATAGTACAGCTTTCAAAAATGGTCTCCAGACCATTAGAAATACATATGTAAGTTTGTTTAAGAGTCCAAGAACTGTAAATCTTTAAATAGGAAAACAGAAACTCAGTCTAGGGGATCAGAAAAGAGACTAATATTTGTGTGAATTATACCATTCTAGTCCCATAATTTATAGACCAGATTCTGTTCAACTAACAGTCTGATCAGAATGCCAGGAATAATAGATGGTAGAATTTCATCCAGTCATTGTCACATCTTTAATAAGTAAATGAATTTTCCTAAGTAATTAGATATTTTAGATTTAGAAAACATCCTTTCCAATCATGAGTTATTTACTTTTCATCTACAGTGCTTCAAGACAGGTGGTAACAAGTTCATTAGGGCTTAAACCAGATACATCTGAAGCAAGTCTGGCCTAGTAAGTTATTATTGCTTCATTCTGTTCTAATTTATTTCTGTTACATTCTGAACATTCTGTTGGTATGTTCATCTGTGAACTAAGGCCTCAAACCAGGCAGATCTGATCTCCCTATCATTTATATATTTCTGCTATTTAAGCAAGTGTGCTTACATTTCACCTGAAGAGACAAGAGATCACTGAGATCTTGTTTTGAAGATGGGAAGAATCTCCATCAACAGGGAATTTCCTTACAAAAGCAAGGTGAAGAGATGTAGCAAGTTGTCTAACTTACCAAACATACCCAAGAGAAATAAGAGTGCAGAAGTAGTTCGTTATGTCAATCGTAAGTAATAAATAATCGCAGAAACAATATTATGATTGCTTGAATTAGCATATTCTTCATTTGGAATAAATTGGAAATCAGATAATAATGGTCTCCTGAGAAATTTAAAACACATCACTTTTTCTCTCTCTCTAAAAGCAAACAAGCACAGCTCAGCATATCAGATAGCACTATAAAATATATACCAGGAAAAAAAATCTGCACATGATCTCTTTCTTCTGCTAGATTTTATTGTTAAAATAATGAGAAATTACAATGAAAACATTTTAATCACTTCTCTGATTAAAAGTGGGCAAACAACATTTTCTTGTAAAAACAGGAAAAAGGGAAGAAGGGAAGGCAGAAAGGGTAGGAAGAAAGAAAACCATTCTGATGACCACAGATAGTAAAACCAGAAACTCTTGATGAGACTTTCAAATTACAATTGTTCCCAAAAAGGACTTTTTTGAATCTGCAATGTGGTTTTATGCTTTTTTAAATTTTTTAAAATTTTAATTAACTTGCAAGAATTTCATGAAGATACAAAGATGAAATGTCAAGTATTTAGACAATGCTTGTTTCCTGAAAGCATTTTTATGGAAGCATCAATTATAAAGAAGCACAGTAAAAAAAAGTAAAGATGGTCACTCCTAGAATAGGTTGCCTTGAAAATTACAGTGTTTTTAGCATTTCACCTTAAGTTAGTTAATCATTCTTTCTATCTGCACCAACTGAAATGAAAGAAGGCTGGTGAGGGTGGTGAGAATAAGTGACATGCATTAGGTATTTCCAAGGAGAATGACAGGAGTTCTTAAATGAATGTGTAGTCAGCTACCCAGGAGTCCCATGTCCCATATGCAATGGAACATGTATACTGGCCTCTTTCTAGCCCACTTAACAGATAAATGAATTTTCTTCAAATCTTTAGATGGAAAAAAAAGGCACTAAGCTATTAAAATCTTCTCTTCTCAGAGAATACATGGTGGTCCAGAATTTAAACTAAGTGGGACAGCTACAGTACTGGTAAACAAAGAATAAATCTGCACAGAGGGAAGAGACCTATATACTTTTTTTTCTGAAAGCAGCTTCTTTTCTTCAAAGCATAACTTGGACAAATTAAAAAAAAAATCCAAAAACCATATGAGGATATATTATGTATTTCCAAACCAAAACTAACTCCACAGGTATGAAAACTGATCAGTGAAGTTTAAAAGTAAATTTTAATTGTAACCTGACTTAAGTTCACCGCACAGTCAAACTATCAATATGAAGAACTAAACGTCTGTCATTTGTAAGTACTTTCAAACTATCTCTAATCAATCTGAACTTCAATTGCTTTTGTCATTTGATAGAATCCCAAGACATGCAGTAATCATCACAGAGAAGTACAGAAGTTTCAATCAAAATAACTGCCTGCTTTTTAAAAGTGGGATTTTTCTTCTACATCAGTGTGGTGGTTTCACATTGATTGATATTTGGGGAAAAAGTAAGAAAACACCATGGAAGTGATTTCTTTGAGAGAAGCTGCTGGGAACTTCCTCTATGCTCAAGAAAGGCCAAGAGCTGGCTAATTCCGAGAACCGACAACATTTTGCACCATTTAGAAATTAGATCCGCCACTGTGAGATCCACCTTTTAAAAACCACAAACCTGGGACATTTTTTCTCCTTGCTTCCAGCCTTGAAAGCTGTCGGAGCTCTGGTGAGGCCAGCCACATGCCCCTGCGGCCTGTGGGGCAGGGCCAGGCCCCAGCGGCTCGCAGGGGGATGGAGGCTGTGGGGCATGGCCGAGGTTGGGCCAGGCCATGGCTGCTCACATCTTGCCAACACTAAAACACCCCCTGGCCCACACTGACAGCTCCAGGCTGAGCCTCCCCTCCCAGTGGCTGCTGGACACAGGGAGGGGCCCCGGACAGCCTGTAATCCATCATCATGACTGTGGCGGCCACTGCCTGCATCCATCTGCAGGCCTGACAAAATTTAACTCTTTCACTACACAGATGAGACCTGCAGACCACGATTCTTTCCTCAAGAGGAAAGGACAAAGTGGGGACATGTAGAAAACAATGTGAAAACACTGAGGTCAGTAAAGAAAGAGTCAAGCCCTAGACAGAAGGGGAATGAGGAGATGCCTTAGTGTTGGGCTGAAATATTCTTTTTACCATTGGCCATGTAGATGACCAATGATACACTGAAATATTTTCTTTAATTCATGAGAGTATGGAGGGATGAAGCATTCAAACTGTAGATGTGAGCAGAAGCATCCATTAATGAAGCCAAGCAGATGCTGGAGTAGCTGTGATCCCATGAGAAGCTTGAACAGAGAGATGAGAGTTGATGAAGACCCTCTGGCCCCAGGGAGAGAAGAAGAAAACCTCTGTTCCCAGAGATGATCACAGAGACAGATGAAGAGAACTTTTCCTTTGAAAAACTCACCTTTAATATAATACCCCATGAGTTCATGGCTCATGGACACATCTCTAGGAGGGCTGTGAAAATGGGAGGAATTTCACAATGGCAGAACTTTTCCCAGGCAGCTGCTACTCATAGAACTGAAAAGCCACAAGAGAACTGTTCCTTGTGGAGAAGTCCCCATGACACAGCAAGAGAAAACTCCTCTCCCTACAAAAACTGATGAAAGACTATTGTATAGTTGGCGTCTGATCTAACATCCCAGGTTTTGTCTCTACATGTTTAGTTAGGGAAAGAAAGAAGTCGGGCAGGGGGAGGAAATGTGCTTTGGAAGTTTTATTCTGATGCTTATTCTTTTAGTTCTATTAATAAAGTTTCTTTATACCTTTTAAGTTTTGAGCCTGTTTTGACCTTCTCCTAATCCATATCTCACAGCAAAGAATGAGTAAGTGATTTTAGCCAGTGCTAAACCCACCACACTATTGGTGCATTGGCCAGGAAACTCAAATTGGCAAATCTAAACCACTATAATCAGGTAAACCACACTTCTACTGGAGCCAACACAGAAGTGTTTATCAAACCAAAGACAAAGATCCAGAATAAGTCAGTCATTTCAAAGGTCTGATTCTTTTTGCCAGTTTCTGAAGTCTTAGTTGAGGAAGACTATTTAAACAGAAAGGCCATCACTCTTGTATGACTTTACTTCACAGTTCTCAGGTGAAGGGTGGCAGAGCAATATTCATCCCCTACATGGCTAATCCTATAAGAACTCCAGTGGGAAAGTAAGAATTCTTAGTTTTGTGGTATGAGTTCTTAATGTATCTTGGCAGTTAAGAGAGACTGACTCATAGAAAGTAAAAATATTTCATCTTCATTGTGGGGATGGAAGTACCTCTATACACCAAGACATGAGAGGTCCATACTGAGGAGGTATTTTGCTTCTCTACTCCCCTCTGGTGAGACCACACCTGGATCCAGCTCTGGAGTCCTCAGTAGAGATAAAAAAAAGGACCTGTTGGAGTGGGTGCAGAAGAGGGCCACATAAATGAACAGAGAAGTGAACCACCTCTCCCATGAATACAGGTTGAGAGAGTTGAGGTTGTTCAGCCTGGAGAAGACTGAGTGAAGACATTTAATTCAATAATTAAATGGGGATTAGAAGAAAGATGGAAAGAAGAAAGACAGAATTTTTAGTGCAACTGTAGCAATAGGTCAGGGGGTAATGGTTTTCATCTAAAAGAAGGAATATTCAAACTAGATAAGAAGAAGTAGTTTTTTACAATGGGGGTGGTGAAACACTAGAAGAGGTTTCCCAGAGAGCAGTGGATGCCTCATTGCTAGAAACATTTGAGGCCAGTCTGGATGGAGTTTTCATCTGGTCTAGTAGAAAGTATCCCAGCATGTTGCACAGGTGTCCAACTGGATGACCTTTAAAGGTGCCTTCCAACCCAAACTATTCTATGAATTTTAAATTTGTGCATGAGACAAATGTTCCCAGCTGATTAAAGTGGACCAAAGCTTCAGGCAGGGCTGGTCTGTCTCCTTCAGAATCTGACAGGTGTGGTACAATGTATTTTAGAAAAACACACAGCAGTTGGTAACACAAAATCATGAATTCAGGGTCAGAAAGTGCCACTTCTATCTGCCCTGCACATAAGAGCATAGAATAATGTGGCTCATCTCCCTGAATATATCTGATACTAAGACACTAAATGTGGAAATCAGTTCTCAGTTTTAATCATGGGATGATTCTTTCACAAATTAGTGTTTGTCAAAGAATTTTTAAAAGGCAAACCCCCTTTAAACTCAGTTTATTTCTATTTCACACTATATTAATTTATGGAATATACAAAAAGGCTACTTGAAAATACATAAAAAAGAAACCAACCAATAAAAAAAGAGAAAACTTAAAAGAAGAGCTACAATACCGGAAAAATTAAAAATATTCTAGGAGAGTAAGCAAGAAAATGAGAGTGGGGAAACAGAGCAGAAGTCAAGGGGGAATATTAATTATAGACATAATTAATGAGATATACATAGCAATAGTTCTATGTGGTTATATATATATATTAATAGTTCTAGGGAACTTTAACCAGAGCTGCACTACTCGACAAGTGCTTTCAGTCTTGCTGCATCTGTCTCTCCTGTCAAGCAGCTCCTTTGATCAAAATACTGAAATCAGACATCTCTGTCTTTCATTTCTGCTATGTTCTTTGTCTACATTCTCACAGCCACAACAGCTCTATTTTACTGACCAGATACAAGCTGAAGTTTTCAAATATTTGTTGTGAGGACACTGCTTAGTTTGCTGTTTCTCTACAGATGAAGAGAATTGCAGGGAGTTTTTATTTTTACTGTGTGTCTTGCCTGAAGTCAATCATATTATATGCAACTTTTCTCACAAAAATAACAATGACATTATTATCTGAATGAATTACATTTTATTTTCCTGCTTTAATTAAACCTATAGATTTGTCATTAACAATTTCTGACAAAGTCATAATAATGTTCTCAGAATCACAATCACAACAATCATAGGAAAACTTATGACAAAATCAAGGAGAAATTTAAAGTAGCTAAAGTACCTTTGAAAAACTATATGTTGACTCAATTAAAATGAATAGAATAACCCCAAATATATATTCATTTTAGATGGGTTTTTTTTGTTAACTTAATTTTGACAGATGTCTTTTTTTTTTAAAAAAATGAAAGCTTCCTCACATGTTTAGCTGTGCTGACAGTGAGTTTTCTTAGCATATTCCCTATTCACTCAGCAATCCTTCCAGCAATGCCACGTGGGAAGCTCAGCCATGCTGTTCTGAGTTGTAAACCGGGTTGTAAAATCAAGGCTATTGCTAAGCAAACCCTCAGTCATGAAGGCAGAATTTTTTTTAAGTCAACAGACATCTTTTCAAGTCCTTATATACTTATTTCTTTGGTGTGCAGTCTTATCTATGGTGTTTGACTCCTGAAGGAGGATTAGTGCATTCCTGGGCCTCAAATAAGATGTCCCAAGTGTTGTTCCAACACTTGGTGTCCCAAGTGTTTTCTTCATTCACTGTAATTTTCCAGAACCATTTGAAAACAAAGAAACTACATCCCAAACCAAATGAAAGAGTACAAAGCTCAAAGCTGAAAGTCAAGCTTCTTGCATAGCTGGAAGTAGGTACCGAGATCATACCTGATTGCTGGACTAACACAAGGAGAAGTCACCACTTTGGGAGAATTACAATAATATCTGAAATACTAAGGGCAGAAGAAACAAAGTTCAACTAAACAAGTGGAAAGACAACAGAAGGGGTCAAAGAGAAGAAACAGAATACTGAAAGTATTTTTAGCCTGTTTCATGAACCCACACCTTTCTTGTGAAGAGTTGGCCTATACCAGACAAAACAAAGCAAAAATCAAAAATCCCAAACACACATGCCCACTACTATACAGACTTGTATTTGCCATCACAGATACTGTGAATTGGAAGATACCAATACATACACAGAATGTACTTTTCCTTCAGCTAACTTTACAGAGAGAACCCCTACCTAAAAATGTAAAGTTTCATTCTAAATCCTCATGAGATTGTAAACAAATTCATAGAGATTGTACACTTAAGAAACAGATTGGGATGCAGGGGAAAAAGGAAAATAGCTTAAGCAGGTAAAGAAGTCATTTGGTTCACTTTAAATAATATTACAAGATCTTATGATGAATTTCAGCCTTTTCACTATACTTTTCAGCCTTTTGACAAAAAGGTTATTTGATGAGCTAGGAAATTATCTGCCCTATCAATCGCATTCTTCAGAAAACAGAAACACTGCTAATATGCAGATCCAATGTTTGTAACAGACCACAAGAAAAGTTTGGAAGTGTTATGCATGAGATTGTAATTGTTCTGCTTCCTCTACAATTTCAAAGCCAGTTAATACAACTAGGCTCCCACATACTCTTAAATTAAACATGTGAATGAGACAGACCTCTTTCTCAATTTCACATATAAAGACTACGATTGATTTGGAAGCATTACCCGTTACTGAGGGCTAGATGTGACTCTCATCCCTTGCACACCCTCAACAACACCGCCAATCATACTAGCATAAGCATGGCACACAAGTCTTTACTGGGGCACTCTCAACAGGATCAGGAACATTTAATTGACAGCTGTTATCCTAGAGACAACAAGAATAATTTTTTAGATATAGTAGATCATCTCTCGCATCCCACTCCAGTGACAGCTGGCAGTGTCATCTGCCACATCACTACATCTCCAGTGGCCTCCAAGCATTTGCTGCTCATTATCCTGTCTCCACCCTGA